AACCAGATGAGTGAGGAGAAATATCACTTTGGGGATAATAAGTTGATCCAATACTAAATTTTCTAAACTAACATTAAAGAATTTGTATGTTTGACAGTAAGGAGAATGACAAATTTGATCAGGGAGTTAAAAGGTTAACAGTATCGTTTATTGTATTTATTAATTGATCGCATTCTGCGTTAGGGCTGTTTGTACGGACTTTTCACTGAGAAAACTTTCCATAAATTTATTTTACCGATGTAATTTTCTTTTTGTTATCAGTGGAGATGCTCAGGCAAAGATGGGTAAGGTTTCAAACACTAAAGGCACTTTCCAAAAGAAACTTGCCGAGATGAAGAAGAAAATCAAGCAGACAAACCAAGACGCTAATGCCTGTGATACTGGTAAATAAACGAACTAACGCGTGATAGTGTAGTCCTCTGTTCTACCAGGAGCTTACTTTTTCAAGGGTGTTGAATTCAATCATCGCGAGAATGTGACAGTGGAAAAAATCAGAGGTGGATCTACTACGAAGGAACAAGGAAGGCTCTGGCGAAGGCCTAACACTCGAAACTTCAGCTTTAGAAACCCCTTTACGGTGGTTAATCACATTATCAATTTAGTTGATACTATCTTGTTCTACCCCCACTGACGTAGCACCACAGTTTCTTTACAAAGTTACCGTAATGATTCGATTTAGCACCCTCATTCCAATAAGCTCCCCTATTCCAATACACGCCCCTATTCTGTTTCAGTGATAGCACTGTTAGATTGTATGAACATCGAGATTAACCGTGGTCCCTCTTCCTTTAATCACTCACTTAAAGCCTCACGACAAAAAAAGTGGTCTTCTTCTCTGTCTCTCAACTATCGTGTCGCCGTGAATGCACAGTTCCTTCAAACGAAAGATCCTGTCTTAAAATTTTGCAACGATTGCTTGGCTAGTCGTTCCAGCAAGGAACGATCCAAGGACAACAAGTCCGTTTTCCAGTCTTTTTGATCCACGGTCAAGTAAACATCAAAGCTTTGTTTCACATTCTGCTGTTTCTCAAAAAAGAAACAAGCGCCCTGTTTCAAATAAGCACCCTTCCTTTAGCTAACAAAAGTAAATAAGCGCCCTGAACACTAAATCGAATCATTACGGTATTCCTTTTACTATGAAGAGGTTGAATATGAAGTTGGCAGAAAACGGAAATTGGAGAAAATTAAACTTTCTCCTATCTTCTCTCAACTGTTTTTATATAAATGCGACAATATCTTACAATCTTATCTTAGAACTTAAAATAATAAATTTTGTTGCTTCAAAGTTTAGTGAAAAAATTGAATGAAACCAGAGTTCACATCTCTCTTTAACTCACTGAAGTGACCTTCTTTAGGCCGACTTCTCATTTATCAGAGCTTAAAAGATCCAAATAGGATCGGACTTAAGATTTCTTACACAATCTCGACCTGTCTTCAAAAGTTTATAGGTTCTTTCTCTCAGGGAAGCAGTTTTTTCCTCCGCCCCACGCTCGCGTCTTTGTATCGACTACCGAGTTTCGAATTGATCCTGAATTCTCAACGCATTTGTTCGTCGTAATGTTAATTACTAAGTGTGTTTGTTTTGTGGTTGTTGATGTTTTTAGATATTCAAGTGCTTCGTGAAAAGCAAATGACCGTGAGTCGTGATCTGGAAGAGAAACAAACAACATGTCTACAGCTTCAAACCACTGCCGATGAACTGGAGGTGCAAATCGATACACTGTCGGAAGAGAGACAAAGGGTGAGTAACCTTATGCCTTTGACCACAAGTGATCAGTTTTCAACTCCTCTTCGCAACATCAGCATATCGTCCAGAAATATAGAATATATACGAGAAAAGTCAGACTTTTTAGCTAGATTTGACCTCATTGTTTCCTCTTATTCTGTCAGAATCTGGCTGACATAGTCGCCAAGCAACAGAAGTTAAAGTACTACAACCAGCTAAAGAATGGACGCTACACTCCGCTATGCAAAACACCGGAGACGCTAGAGGCTGAACTTCAAAAACAACGAGCTCGTCTCCAGTCCCTTATGACGATAGTTGATCGATTGAATCAGGAGTTTCCTCAAGCTCAACCAGCGCTGCGCAAAATCACCCTGTCTCTAGGCTACAGGGGAATTCCTGAGGAAGCTGCAGCCTAATCTCTGCTCACCCCTCCCGTGTAGAAAATTATTTATTCATTAATGTATTGCGAATATGAGTAAATTTTCTTAAATAAAAAAACGACTTAAATTTAATTGTTTAGATTTCCATAGTTTTCAGAACCACGTTTCTCGATATCTTTTTCTGCTAGTATTGCTGTAAATAAAAGATATCAGCACATTAAACTGAGTCGTGAATATTGTACCGACATCAAGATTTTGGTCTTAACCCGTTGTTTGTTTTTATACTTCGCACTGCCTCCTTTACTGCTTGACGCCACCTCGCGTGCAGCACGTTCACTTTATACTTGTACCTGACGCAAATAGATGCCCGTGCCCAATGTCCATAGATAACCAGCGAGCAGGCGCTCATTGTTAGTGTTTCGGCACGAGGACCGTTTCTTCTCCCGCGAGAAAGTATGAGGCCTTTAGCAACGCGACCTGACGAGAAGTCTGAAAAGGGTCTGGCATTGCTTAGTACCAGCCCCTCGGAAAACGTCTCCCTTACTCGTCTCAGAGCTCTCCACGAGCGGAAAAACGCACGTCCTCCAGTGCCTTGTCGTGGACTAGCACAAGGAGAGATAACGAAAACAAGTGTGCATGCGCATCTAGAATACCGCAGACATCAGGACTACAAGTGGCACGAACTCAAACCCAAACTCAAATTGATGCGAGGAATCACTGTTGTTTCAACGAAGATCTGATCATTAAAAGAAGAGCGTTGGGAACGAGATCGAGTTGGAACGCTCCGGCAAGTTCTCTGTCATCTGCAGAATGTTTTAGGAATTATTCGGGTTATGTCGGTACCTTTTTCCAACCAGTCAATTTTCGCAGAATCATCTTGAGAACCACTGCGGTGAACGGAGCTTCATGGCATAACTATTGCCATTTGCAATGATCTTCGTACGATTGATTGTCAAAATGACTGCAAAATCTCAGATCAACAAGGGTAAAAGACTTAAGCACGGGTTGTTCAAAGCTGGGTCAGTTAAGAGAACAGGGTTAGTGTGAAATTTGATTTCACGTCTGAAAGCTATGAAAGAAAATTCAGTTCAAATCTTTTTGCTTACAATTTGATTATTGGATGTTCTTGAAAAGGAATACGGAAATTTTTCCCTAAAAAGGCTTTTGAGCAAAGAAATAAAGAAATTTGGACTAAACTTTAACCCTGGGTTAGCGCTTATCGGCCTTCGAACAACTGGGCCTTGTTGGAGACTGTACCTTGACTGACCAGTACCAGTCTCCATCAGTTGGTTAGGACAAGCTACGAAGCTAGCGAAATGTAAACGGTCATATACAGTATATCGTGAACACTGATAGTAATTTGCTTGGAATAAAAATTACAGTATGGCTATTCGAAAAGGATGAGATTAAAGAGGAAAAAAGGCGACTATTCAATTTCTTTTCATAGTTACTAATGATAAGTCACCGCGTTTATTAATGCCAATACGTTCAAGCGTCTTAGCTTACTGATAATGTAAAGTTGTAGCGGTTTTCTTGAAGAAATAAGGTCCATATTAACTTTTTCAAAAGGGACTTAAGATAAAAGAGACTCAGATAACAACTATTTCTAAGATAGGGAATTGAAACTGCTTTTTGAAAATAATAGGGCTGAGTACTTGTCGTCCATGTCCACTTAAACGGTCTTTGACATAGTGCGTATTTTATGTAAATCGCGTGCTTGAGCGAAATTGAATTTTTAATTATGCGTGTTTTCCCAAGAAACTTTTTTCAATTTCGGCCACCATTTATGAAAGGTCTTTTCAGAATTGTTCTACTTTCTACGATACGAAAAACAACCATGTTGAATCCGGCACACAGTAACAGATATTGAAACGTAAAGGGGAAGTCCTCTGATCTCTGGCGCAATTTTTAATTGGCATGTCGAACTTACCTTTGGAAATTACCTTTCTGTTAGCGTTGCGAAATTTTCTTAATTTGCAAATTTGTCATTGTTGCCGGAAAATTGTTTTCGTTTATTCGTAGCGTGCTAGCATATCTCATAAGAACCCTATGCGGGTGTAAACATTTTGTGACTTTCGCACTTTTCTGTGAGAATTTCACAGTCTTCAGTTCTGTTTTGAATATTTACACCAGGGAAGGTATTTAGCAATTCATTACCACAGATAGCTCTTCCATTTTTAATTGTAATTAGAGCAGCTGGTTAATGAGGCAGCCGTAACTCGCTACGCATGCTCATTCATTTTCATCTAATCTTAGAAAACGGCGCCTAATAGCTGTCGGTGACAGATGTAATTTTAAGTGTAAAGGTGTATTTACAGTATCTTAGCTTAATACACGCAGCCCCTCTAACTCGATTTTGTGAAGCTGAAGATGAATAAGTGAAAAATGTATCTTCATTCTGTGATATTAAAAGCAAACCTTGGAAACCTTGCAAATTTGTCATTGACGCCGAAAGATTGTTTTCGTTTATTCGTAGCGTGCTGGCATATCTCATCAGAACCCGATGTTGATGTAAACACTTTGTGATTTCGTGCTTTTCTGTGAGGACTTCGGAACCGGGTTTTGAAGTCTTTCTGTTTTAAATATTTATACCAGGAAAGGTATTAAGCTATCCATTACCACAGAAATTTCTTTCATTTTAAATTGTAATTAGAGCAGTGTTCGATGTCGAATGCTTGCATTGACTACGCAGCTGTCTAAGGAAGCAGCTGTAACTCGCTACGCATGCACATCCATTTCCATCTGATCTTAGAAAACGGCGCCTAATAGCTGCCTATGACATGTAATTTTAAGTGTAAAGGTATATTTACAGCATATAAGTTTAATACACGCACCCCCTCTGACTTGATTTTGTGAAACAGAAGATAAATAAGTGAAAAATGCATTTTCATTCTGTGATGTTGAAAGCAAACCTCGGACATTTCATTTTCACCATGGTAAGCACGTAAAACTTTGACTATTTTTATTGTGTCTGTGTGGGTCTAATTGGGTCGCAATCTGTCTATTGATAAGTATTGAAAGTATGCGTTTAAAGTGAAGCACTAAACGACTCTTGATTTTCATTTGATCTTATTTGAAGTTGGTGAAATTTTCGTTCACTTGTGAAAATGAGGTCAATCATCTATATAATACATCAGGTAAGTCAAACTTTTTCATCTTTATATTGATAAAAGGATGACTAAAGAAAGTATTTGTATACGCATTTGAGGACAAAATAAACTTTTACTTCAGCAGTTTACCAAAAATATTCAAAGTCACGACATGAGACGAAATAAAAAAGAAAACCCTTGCTTTTCTTACACCCTCCAAATGTCCATTCTCATCATGACTTGTGAACCTCTAAAAGCACGAATCAAGTGTTTCAAGGCGATGGAGCAGGGTAAGCCTCAAATCGATTCAGGAGCGCGCTCGGCGAGATAACATTTTGTTCAATTTTTTGTTAGCAGTTGTTTACTTATGCGTTCCCACGAATCGATTTCACGTCCGCGCTTGAGACTGTTATGACTGCAAATAGGTTTGCATATACCATCGAAATTGGCAAAATACAATGCTGGAAATCTGAGTGGGATAATGGGGTTTGCTCGGCGTTCAAGCAAGCCCTCGTACATTTCAAAACTCTCCGCCAGCCGCTTCTCGCTGATCAAACTCGGTCCGAAACTCTATGGAAAAAATATGTCTAAAAGGAAAAGCGTTACTTTTTCCTTCTAGCTTATCTGGGGTACTTGACTCAAAGTTTTCATCTTTTTTCCGTGGTATACATTAAAGCCGCTGGTGCAAGCTTTCCACAGTCAACCCAGGTTACATTTTAGTTTTTCCAGTCTACCAAGAAGAACAGAAATTTTTTATAGTTTTCTAGATTCAGTAAGTTCTGTAAAGGGAAATTTAATCAACAATTTCAGTGGCGCTGAAATGTAACCTGAGATGCTTAGTTTGGGAAGTTACATCAGCACCAACAAATAGAAACTCCGGTTTGGACGTATAAAGCTTAAAGAACAAACTTTTAATAAATTTAGCCTAATGTACGGCGAAACTTTGAAAGATTAGAGTTTCGAATCCTCACAGAAGGAGTCATATTTCTAAGTCGTATTACGCTTGCGACGAATGTTTTTACTCTTTTCTTTATAACTGTGGATTATTTAAACGTCTTCGTGCATAGTTCAGTTAAGTAGTTCCTCTGTTACCGAGCACGGCACAGCGGTAATTTATCGGACTGACAATCTATTTTCGTGAAAATTAAATCAATAGAAACGATCCATGAGTCGATAAAATCATGAGTAAAAAAGCGAAAAAAAACGATTTTCGAGAAAGCTGTGTTAACGCGGCCCACTCCTATGGGATAAATCGTAGATGATCAGTTGAAGAGGAAAAAACTAGCTAAGGATAGTTAGAAATGAAATTCATTTTTTAACAAAGTTTCAAATCTATCCTTTAGTGATAAAGTTAACATGGGATTTCTTTAAACTTTTTTAATCATGGGGAAAATTTACAGTATTCTTGATCAATGTAATAAACCAAGTGCTTCGAGATACGTAATAATAAAACGCGTTTAATGATTGCGCAACGCGCAAAGTTGGCTTGTTTCATGAATCAGTGATGATGTCAATTTTCTCGACGATTAGTTCAAAAAGAAACCTCCCTTTTATCTTAATTGTTGTAGCATTGCTACAGTGTCGAAAATTTAGCATGAGCCAAACAAGGCACTTAACAAAAACGTATATTTCTCTAAAAGAACCTATTGAAACTTTCATGTCAATTCAGTTACTTTCACCTGAGAAATGAGGCGCTGTGAATATTTAAATTTACAAAAATTTGTTTAACTGAGGAACAACCGTTGAATTACATTTTCTTTGATAAACTACCTGAAAAGTTGTGAAATTACCCCCTGAGGAATTGTAATATTTTTGTTGGTAAAAATTTGTTTTAAAAAGCTGTTTTTTTTTTTCAAATATAGTAGTCTAAAAGTTTCAGCAACACTTTGGAGAAACATGGCCTCTTCTCTCAACATAATGTTCTGATTCTTTCTATGGGTTCTCGTCAAATTATTTTTATGGTACAAAGGAACTCTTCCGTAAAATTCCGTACGTTTACATAAGATACACTCCAGTGTTTAAAAGATTAATATGTCCGCGGGCTATTTTGGTCTATGAAAAGGATGCAACATTAATAAGCCACATTAGATGTTAATAAAAAGACAAACAAAATGTCTTAAAAAGCTTGTAGCTTTGGGGAAATATTAATTTTTTGACAAAGCATGTCTTCATAAAGGCTAAATTAAAATTCTACTTACCCGTAAAAAAAATATTATCAAGAATAAGTAACAGTTACAAATAGTTTAAGTTTATGTCTTGCTGGTAGCTTTTCAACTGAATTTTCTATTTCGGGGAAATCCACTTCTTGGATGTTAATCGAAGAATTTTTCTAAAACTTTTGGCTTGCAAAACTTTCCTTTTTCTATTCTTCTCTACGATTAGTCTAAATGATTAGCGATCTATAAACTTCGCACAAATTTTCGGTTAACATTTATTCAGTCCAACACTGCCTCATTTTCCGCGTTTTTGGTAGCCTACGTGCAGCTGCATTAGCGGCGAAACCCGCAAGATTCGAGCATGCGAGAGGTCTGTTAGGGGTCTGGCACGAAAACCAGATCGTGCCAAACCCCTCGCAGAACTCTCGTACACTCATATCACGGGTGCGCGGTGCCAATTGGAGCATGCTCGTCAGCTACGTTCGTTGTCGATGAATGCCTAAATTCGTGATGAGTTCTTTGATGTCGTGACAACTCGATTTAAGTCTGTCTGTATGCCAGAGGCATATAACCTAGAAGCTTATATGCTTCTGGTTAAACAGAATAACCGAAATAGCTCTATTGAAAGGTTATAACATATTAATTTGACGGATTTTTCTTGGCAAGTCTAAATTACACATCCATTAAAATTTCAATCCAAATCCTTCAAATCCTTCCTCCTGCTAAGGATTAATTCTTACACAAAGCCACTATCATTTCATCGACGGATCGATTGATTCCTTTGCTCTAATAAAACCTGTCGTATATCTTTTACAGTGGTCAGTTTTCTCAAGGTCAAGGTGCGATCAGAAGCGCGTGATTTGGCGTCCATTTTGGTTGACAATAGAAACTACGCACCTCAGTCTGAAGGATACAATGTGGTAGTTCTTGATCCGCTATCAGGTACATTCTTCTAATTCACAAGACGAGCGATGTCCTTTAGTTTGATAAAACAGTTGCACCAAAGTGATTCATTGCTCAATGTTACCCTCCATGCACCATTCCGTTTTAGTCATTCCTTATAATTTTAGCTGTATAGGTTGGTTTCCGTTTTTTTCCTCATCATATCTGTGCTCATTGCTCAAGTAAATCAAAAAGAAAAAGGATATACCTGAAAGATCATAGATTTTTTTTACTAAACGCAGTCGTTTGGCTGATATGGGAAAGCTCTCCGAATGAGGGGAATTGGATAAGACAGAGGGTTTATAGACACATGAAGATTATACCGGGATGCTCACCTTTTCACATATTCTACCTTTGACTTACGCTTTGGTCAGAATTTTCAAGTGCAAGCGTTTTGTTTTTCCCTATCCAGGTCGTTTCCTCACCTCAGCTGCGTTTGATTGCGCAACGCACCAAGCTGAGTGCGACAAGCTAGGTGTGTTCCTGAAAGGCTTGCCTCAGGATGTTGTTGTGTTGCTGGCTGCACAAGGCCCCGCTGTTGTCACTGGTCACGTGCTTCCAACGAAGGAATTGAAAAAAGTAGGCGCCAATCATACTGAAAATGTTTCTGCGCAAACTCGCCACGCAGTCATTGGATATAAAGGACAGATGAAGGGAGTGACGTGGATAAAGGAGATCTTGAGCGACAAAGGATCGGCCGAAGTATCATCAAGTATTCCAATCCGTTTTTCATACAAACCAAAAGGTAAAGGAATGACTGCCTTTTTTTTTTTTTTTTTTTCGTGTTTAGGTGCATGATGCTTTTGCGTAATTAACTGCACTTAGGCATATGTAGCCGTCCGTAGCCATACTTAGGAATCCCTAGCCATGCTCAACCATACTTAAGGTGATTCCTCAGAAAAAAATAAGTCATTAAAAACTTTGTCTGTTTCGAAAAATACAATAAAAAAGATAGGTCACCCTGCTTGATATGATGGCCACCAAACTTACTCTATTTACGCTTGTGCTGGCACAAATTACGCGCGTCATTTCATCGCTTCACGGTGCATTTTGCGGGAGGTGGAAGCAAGGCTTTTAAAGTAGCCGTTAAAAAAAAAAACTCGATAGGTAGAAAGTCTCGAGCGTATGGAGCAATTTGATTTATAATTTGTGGGAAAATCACGCAAATTTAAATGACATCGTTCTATTCAAGGTCATGATTTGCATCTTCGAGGAACGGGCGTCGTGCACGCTTTTAGCTTTATATTTTTTCTCTTTGAAGAATTTTTTTGATTTCCCCAATTTAAAGGGGATAACCTGTACATAGAAATCATGTCAAAAAAAAAAATATATATATATATATATATATGTATAAAGGTCACCGTGCTCGTTCTTCTTTATTTGTTCCAGGTAATTGATTGAAAAACAATACTGTTTTCTCGGAATATGGGCGCGCTTATTTGCCCGATTACGTGATTTTTATGCGAGGTAGAGGATGTGCCGTGTAATACCGAGGAATCTCCTTAATCATCCATGGCCATTCTTGGCTGTACTTGAGAATAACTAGTACCAGATCTCCATTCGAATACCTGTCCGAACCACTCTATGCGTGCCTACACCAATTAGTTACTCACTTTCGCCTCAAAGAACCGTTTCGTTCGTGGAAATGTAGAAGGGGGATACAACATCCCCTTCAGGAATACTCTTAACACTTCCTGCCGCCAGAGCGAGTGTTTTACTTTATAGTCGCTCAACACCATGAAATACGGATCAAACTGACTCAAGAAAAGACATAACCTGCCTAAGATTTGGAGTAGATGTTTAGGCAACTGTCAAACTGTTTAGTTTTATCATTCATTCACATTTCTTTCAAAGGAATCCCAAGTTTTATGTTTCATTCTCCGTTTTCTTTAGATTCTACATGTTGTACCCCGTTCAATGTGGCGTCCCAGAAGTATGGAGGCAGTTGTTTGAATCAGTCCTCCAGTTGGGGAGCCTTAGAGATTTGTCAACATGTCATTGATGGAAACATAAGTGTTGGCTGGAACTCGTCGTTCAAGAATGAAAGCATCGATAGCGTCAACTCTTCCATCACAATTGGTTTTCACTCAATCTTCGTCATCAATAAACTAAGAATAAGGCAAAACGCAACTACCAATCAACAAATCCAGGAAATTTTGTTGGAGTTTAGTGACAGTACCATGGAAAAGGTACTTCGATTAATCGACTATTTGTGTTTTTCGCTTTATTTAAAAACTCAAAATATCTCAGTTTCCCACGGACATGAGAAATGTTTTTGATAAATCTTCACTTGGATGAAGCTAACTTATTCATCTATACACAGCAGGTTATTTTGTTTTTTAATTGTATTTTGCAGATTACACTGACAGAGAATCGGTCTGATTTTGAAGAGTTTTTCTTCACGTCACGTAAGGCAAGTTGGGCTAAGTTTACAATTACAAAAGTGAATGGTACCAGCGGAGGGGCCTGGATACAAGAAATTGAACTTTACGATGATAAGTGCGATCACAGTAAGTAACAAAAATAAGTTAAAAATTCCAAAATAGAAAGCAAACTAAGATAAGCAAGATCAATACCTGAAATTTAGAAAAAATCAATTTGTTTCCAAGGGTTTAAGGTGAATGAATTCATCCTATAACAAGTTTGCCTCTACCACCTTTGCATGTTCGCCAACGAACGTAAATCAAGCCCCCCTCCCCCCCCCACCACCTTGAATGATTTGGGGGGCGAACTGGTGAAGGTGAGGGCGAACTCGTTTACGTCAGAGGGCGAACTCGCAGAGGTGATCGGGGGCAAGTAATTGGTACACCCAGACGAACCACCCTGCGATGTTTTGAGCCTTTGGTTGCGACAAGCAAACTTTTCTACACAGTGAGATAACAGTCAACCACAAAGTATAAGTTTGGTTGAATGGAAAAACAACCTAAATGGGAGGGAAACGAAAAAAAGATAACGAGGATGGTTCAAGATGAACAACATTGACACGAATTAGAAATGACCAACTTGTAAAAGTGTAAGTAACTCCTTAACCCTTTAACTCCCAAGATCTCATTAGTAATTCTCCTTACTGTCTGCCATACAATTCTTATGATGTCAATCTGGAGAATTTTGTATTGGATCAACTAATAATCCCCTAATTGATATTTCATTTTATTCTCATTACTTCTATCCTTGATATTGTATTGATATTGTAAGGAGAAATTCTCTCTTAGTCACTGACGAAAATGACGTTGCAAATCAATTTTTCTCACACTTTTGTTCACAAGACTGACTTCTATTCTGAACTTGCTGCTTTACAACAAAAAGACATTGACTTAGCCCTAAAGAAAGCCGATGTGAGGTGATCCTCGCAAAAACGAAAACAAACTGATCCTGAGGAAATCGAAAACGAGGTGACCTTAACAAGGGCGAAATCGAATTTTAACTTAAAAATCTTTACAAAGTAATATTCTTAAAAGTCTACCATGTGCACGAAGAATTTTGTCCCAAATGAGCACGAAAACTTCTCACCAGGTTGTGAACGACGCCTGTCAATTAGTGCTTTTGTTCAACTTTTCTGTCAGAAACATTCTGTGACACCATACAGCTTTTGAACCACAGTCGATCGATTCACTACCGCTTGCAAAGTAACCAGTTGGCACTACTGATCGAAGCTGAGGCTGATGTTTCGGTGCTTCTCACAAGTGACTCACAAGACACTGATTATCAATACAAGATTAAGATTGGTTCAAACGGGAGTATCACTTTGAGTAGCAAGACCAACGAATGTGAACAACGGATCGAATTGAACGTTACTTTGTTGAAAGACAACGAAACACGGCCATTCTGGCTGGATATACAAACGGACCGGTTGGTTTTTGGTTCCGGAGAACAGGTATAATATAAAATACTGCATTTGCCATAGCCTCTTTTTAAAATGTCAGTGTTTGGGATAGAACGGGGCGAGCGAGAGAAAAAGAGACTGGGAAAAGGACACTTCTCTCGCTCGCTCTTCTCTCATCTCCACTGACCAAAAGCATGGCTCGGCTGACATTGATAGTTCCCTATCGGTAGAAAGAAACAAAGCAGAACAAACAAACATAAAAACAAATATCCTTCGTTTATCAACAGCCATCTTCTCTTTTGCTTCATATAGATTTACCTATTCTGGAGAGAAGCAAAACTGATCAAGATCAAGTACGCTGTCTTTAACACAACAACTTCCCCAGCCTCGTTTCAGATCTGTCCAATCATGGGTTAGTACTGACATGAAATAACAACTAAAGTAAAGTTGAAAGTTACAGATCTTTGTGATTGCTGCTTTGGAAAAGCAATGCTTCTCGCCAATTCAACGGTTCTACTCTTTGTTACTCCTTTATTACGTTACTACTTCCCAATCAGTGGCGTATGTAACAGTTACGATTTCGCTTATTAAGTCGATAGCAGTGAAAGTGGATGATCAGATTTCTGGCTAGAATTGGTCAGGGGTGCCAAAAAATTTTAATTGACTATTCGTTAAATCAATCACGTCTCCGTCTGAATACTTCACAGACACATTTGATGGCGCTCTCTATAGTTAACCGCTATTAATTCACCGAAATGGAGATGAATGTTTATCTTGGCCTATTCAAAAAAAGTGAGATAATGTAGCTTAAAAAAGTTGCAATATTTTCGGGCACAAATCCTGCGCGAGTTGCTTGGAGGTTAATTGCAAAGGATATTGGACTTTGAGTTGCTAATTAGAGTGCGCCTTCAGCGCTATCCACTGTTTTAGTATATACTTAACTGTTATTACTCTCAATTTTCTACCTTCAGGAGTCATTAAACGTCTCAATATAACCGTGAGATCTGAAGCACGTCACACAGTTGGCAGGAATTTGCCAAATGGTTTGGCTTTCATTTGGGTTAACAATGAGAACTATGCTCCAAAGAACGAAGGGTACAATGTTGTAGTTTTTGACGCCCTGTCAGGTTGGTGCATAGTGTTGATCAGTTATGAAAAGAAAGCAAAAGATGATTCGTACATTAATAATATTCTCATCTTGGGAGTTGTCTGTTAAATCTCCAGCGATGTTTATAGCGGTGGCGGATCAACACTGAGGGAAGGGTCTCGAGCAACTGGCTTTATTTCCAGTGGCATAGTGTCGTTTGACCTCTTTTGGCGGGCTTTCACATTTGACAATCATTTACCTTCCGAAACTGGAGGGTTTCCTTTGATAACACCGTGATTTTAAGGTCAAAACCACGTAACAAACTTTTCATTTGTCTCACACTGAAAATTGTAATTACTTCTTTCGTCAAATCAATTTTCGAGAACAGACCCCCATTACTTCGCACCCAGACCCCTTGCCATAACATGTTGTCCTTTGATTTGATCTTACTCCTGCTGGTGGTTGCCAAAAGGGATAATGGATCGGCTTAGCTTCTCTGTTTTATCATGCAGGTCGTTTCCTCACCTCAGCTGCGTTCAACTGCTTAACAAGCCAAGAAGAGTGCGACAAGCTGGGTGAGTTCCTGAAGGGCTTACCTCCGGATGCTATAGTTTTGCTGGCAATACAGGACTCCGCAGTCGGCTCTCACAAACTTCCAACGAGTGACCTAATCGGCATTGGTGCACAAAAAGCTAACCGCGTTGTTGGGCAAACTTCTCACGCTGTTATTGGATATAAAGGACAGAGAAGTGTGACGTGGATGAAGGAAAATTATAAAGAGAGCGGTGGAGAACCGGCTGTAGTGTCATCAAGCATTCCAATTAGCTTTCTGTACCTACCAGAAGGTAAAAGAAAAACTCTGTTACTTTTAGGGTGGGGCGGGAGCTTTTTCTCTTTTTTTTCTATTTTATACTCGCTTTTTTTTTACCTTTTTAGGGACCAGTCATGATGTGATCCCCTGTAGGGCTCTGTATTTTAAATATGATCCCTCTTCATTGGAAGTTAACTAGCTGTAAATTTTCAATGGCGCTTTCTTTATACTCT